TTCAGCTCCTGAGGCAGCTTGGGTTCAGTATGCTATTCATGGGATCTGCCCCATTTTTCCAACTGCTCAGATACCACACAGGCCAGCGATCAATTACCTTTGAATAGCTCACTGAATATACTCGGCAAGTAAGGGGTGAATAACATCACCAGACAAATGAGTACTTGCCAATAGTGGTATTTCCTTTGCTAGCTATGCCCTATCCAATGACTGGCTGTGCCTCCTCACCTTGGCTTGTTGTCTTTGGTACTTGTACCAAAAGAGTGTAGTGCGACTCCGTGGGACTACAGAAGGATTCTCGTCTGCAACATTTTCACCAGCCTTCAGTACCTGCAGCATCCAGATGGATGGAAAATGGTGCTACAAGCAGTGGGTTCCTTTTCAGGACAGTGCTTTCAGTTTCATTTCAGTCATTTCAATATGACTGAAAGTAAACCAATCGTATTAAAAAGGATATGATCAAACACAGGATGAAACATAGGAAGGAAGCTTCTGTTTAAAGGTCTTTCATTACTCGTTGCTAGCGAGATCCTGGTAACTTCAGTATCTGCTAGGAAAAAATATGGTTACCCTTTGTGCTATCTATAATGAGGTAGTCAAGCAAAAATGGTAGCATTAGTTATTTTTACTTGTGCAGCTCTTTGCCCATTCCCACATTCACAGGGTGCTGAGCAATAAGGTCTGGCCATAGGCTGGCCACAAAGTGGGCCACCAAGGAATTACTTGACTGCTCTTGAAAGTTACAACTCCTGGACAAAATGTTTCTGCTTGTATAGAAATAGAGGTATTTAAAGAAGTCTCAAGAGCTCAGTGCCAGTACAGAGGTCATTCTGCACATTGTAACTTACAGCTTCATGGCATAAGGTATAAATCTATAGTTTCTTTTGGCTTCTAGGACGTCTGCATTAAAAGGAGTTATATTTTGGCATGCTTGTGCCAGCAGGACCCACATTATGCTCAACAGTGAGTGAAATCCCTGACCAGAGGTGTCAACCTGACATCAAATCAATGACAGGCACTCTGAGCCTTTGTGGCTGCTCTGCCCCTTCTGCCTCAACACCAGTGGGACTCCCACAGCCCTGTCCCAATGGATGAGGTCACAGCGCGGGGCACTGTGAAGGGATAACAGGGGAGAGGGAGACATTTCTGAATCATGCATGCTCTAATGGCCCTCTTGTTAGCTCAGTTGTTTGCCATGCTGCATGACAGCTGGTGTCTCAGTCCAGTAATTACACTGATGTAGTACTGCCTCTTGCTGAGGTTTGGCAAGAGGGCAGCCACCCAAAAGGCACCGCACGGGTATGCTTGATGAATGCTGGTGTTCAGAGAGCAGACTGGTGATTTCCTGGTGATCAACTGCCAGGATTTTCCTGCAAGAGAAAGCCTAATTATTAGTGAAACCTAATTATTAGTGAAAAAAAAATATATCTATGGGATGACACAGAAGAACATCCTACTTTGTTATACCTCCTGGCTTGTTTGTTCTTCTCTGGTCGAAGGCAGCTGTGTACAAGGCTGGAGACCTTCATCTGCATTAACTTCTCAGCAAGGTTGAGTTACCCCCAGGGAACACTATGCTATGTAATTGTAATGCACCCAAGACCCAGGCAAGGTTAACTCAGAGCTCCTCCTGGTTTTGGTGTGAAGTGATGCCCAGCAGAACTTGGTCTTTGCTGAACAGTCCAACCCTGGGCGATGCAGGACTCACCCTGGATGAACTTACCCAGAGAGGTGCATTAGCTTATGCTAAGTTTGGAACAAGCAAATTGCTTCTGGGGCACCTGATAGCTCTCTGGTGTCCCTGCATTGCACAGCAGCATGAATGGTCCTTCAGGAGTTGATCAGCCCCTGGCAGAGGAACTAACTGCTTGTCAGGCTCATTCACAACCACATTGCCAGAGTCAGAAAACATCCCCATAATGAAAACCCTAATGGTGAGCTCTAGTAATTTATACCTCTGCAGACCAGCTCCTCCTGCTCGTGTGCCAGATTTAACAAACCACTAATTGCTGCCTGATTTCTAATTGCTGTCATTTAGAAGAGCGATGGAACAAGTCAGATCTACAAACGCAGCTTTGATGCAAAAAAGGTACCAGAAAACTCAAAAGCTCAGCATCAGTTTATATGTTGGTACCGAGTACCTTATGTTGGGTATGTTGGTGTGACAGAAATATTTATACCACAGGTACATGAGGCGGAGGGATTGGAAGCAAAAGAGGTTTTTTGTGCGTATTTATACCAGTAAACGTTGAGCCAGCAGCTAGCAAGGCAAGAATTCTGTTTCTCTGAGGTTTAAGCACAGCCCAAAAAGCTGAGCTCAGGCACGTCTCCTCCTCCTCTGCCCGACAGTGTCCTGCCAAGCTGAAACCTTTCATTCATGCTCCTGCTCTTTGTTTCTGGAGCTTTTTGCAGCAGTCCCAGGCCGTGCTGTGAGCCGCGGGTCAGGAGCATGGAGATGCGCAGCGATGATCCCTGCAAAGCCAGCTTGCAGAGGTTTAGCCTGGAGCGTACAGGAGGGGGAGTGTTTGCTACAATGTTTTCGTAGCCAGCAAAAACAGTTTTCACTAGGGTTTTTTTTTCCCTCTCTTATTCGAGGCACTGCTCAAGCCCTTCAGCCCCCTGGATGCTCCTGCAGCATCGAACTGCAGAGTGATGTCTGTGGGCTCAAAGGAATGCTTACTGAGTCTGAAACTGCCCTCCTCCTCAAAGCTTGCTGAATACTTCCCCACAGCAGCAGGCTCCCTCAAGCAGATGGAGTTACCAGCCACATGGGACTCCACGACATTAGTCCTTACCATCGCGGTGTGGTTCGTAGCCACCAGGTTGGTTTTTGCACTGCGGTTTGGTCAACACCTCTTCTGGTTATGTGATTCCTGGGGGCTTTGAAGAGGTTCCCCACAAATGAAGATTTTACCTCTAGGCTTTGGGAACATGTCTGTAACATGAACTCCTGTTCCTGTTTTAAAAGATGAGCTGTACGTCAGCCAGGCAAGCCCCTTACAGATAGCTACACACTCGTTTTGATCTCCCAGAGCTTGCAAAGATGGCATTTTCCAAAGGTGCTCTGGCAGTCAGTGCGAAAGGGACTCCTGGTCTAAGCATTTTCCCTTGTAAAAGTGCCCACATTGGTTCAGTTATGCTTAGCCATCTTAAGAGTTCCAGCTCCTGTGAAAAGTCCAGCTCAGACCTCTGCTGAAGTCACTGTGGTTAGGACTCATGGGCTAAACAGAAGTGCCAGGAAATCACGTGAGTGCAGCAAACGGGCTTTCTGCACCTGGCCTACTGATTGCTGGGCAGGAGTCGTTTAAGTAACAGCAGTTTCTGATCAGGGACTTACGGAACTGGCTTCTGATCTGCCTCAGAAGTAAGAAATCTGGGGGCACTTATTTGATATCCCAAACAGAAAGGGAGTGTTGGCTGGGTCACGTCCCACACCTCCGCATGTGTGTGGAATTCCTTGCACTTGACCTCCGTGCAGACATCAGCCCCTTGCCATCAAATAAGGCCTCCGCTTTCTTCAGAGGAGATAAGAATGGACCAAGGACATTCCTCAGTGGCCAGCATAGAATCATAGAATGGTTTGAGTTGGAAGGGACCTTCAAAAGTCATCTAGTTCCAACACCCCTGCCATAGGCAGGGACATATTTGATTAGACCAGGTTGCTCCAAGCTCCATCCAACCTGGACTTGAACGTGTCCAGTCAGGGTAGCCCTGCACAGGAGCAAATCCTCCACCATGCAACATACCTGCCACTTGCCTGGCCTTTTGACAACATGCCCAATATTACTTGCCTGGCAACTGCGCTTCCACAGCACATTGAATTCCCACACTTCCAACTGGCCCATAGAAATAGCATCTGAAGGGGGGAAGAGGTTTGGTTTTGATCTACAACTTCTCCAGCAGACAAAACTCAACATGATTACATTACTTGTCCTTAGGAGTCAGGGCAAAGCACCCCCACAGCACATATGGACCTATGTTTTCAGTATTTTGAATTAATTTAATTTCCTCGAGTGACTTCAGAGCACTGACAAGATGGACTCACAGGAAAGATTTCTTCTGTCTTCAGCTGGGTCTTATTCCTCTTCAGAAGCAGAATGAAACATATATTCAAAACTCAAAAATAGCATTTGGGTTGGTATTTTGGAAGATGGTTGTTTTGTGGTCCTGGGGTCCTTTGTACAGATGCAAAGGGAATGTGAGCTCCACAGGGAGGACAGGATCCTCAAGCAGCTTAAAAAGCCCAGCACAAACCAGAAACAACTGTTTATGAGAGCCAAGGATGCAGCACTTGGAGGAAGGAGCTGATGCTGGCCTATGAAGCAGCATGCAAGAGGTGGGATGCTTTGCTCTGGAGTGGATGTGGGACCCAGCCCAGCTCCTGCCCCCATGCTTAATCTGACCATCACTTTTATGGAAACTAGAACTGAATAAAAGCATTTCAAATCTAAATTAGAGAAGCTCTCCAAAGGATCTCTGATCTCACTCCTTCTCTGTGAATCTCCAAAATACCATTTTGATAAAAATAGAGGGAGAGCAATTACAGTATTAAGAAACTGAAAAGCTGTTTCTTCTGAAAGATGCTTTTAAAGTTCCCCATCCACATCGCCCTAAATCAGAAAACCTACCTAGTAGAATATCTCCTTGCACCATCATAATGAAAAAGGAACTATTTACAGCCAGCCAAGGTGGTATGCAGTCAGAGACAGTAGAAATCACTGTACCCTTTGTGCAGTTTGATTTTAATATAACTAATATCCTGCAGAAATCTGGTACAGGTACCCGAATGGATTTCTCATCTCTCATCATCCAAAAAGCCCTCTTTTGAAGAGGTGAAAAAGGTAAAAGCTCTAAAATATCACCTGTGGGAGTTCTCCCTTGGCATGCGCATGGGCATGGGCATGCCTCGGGCATCCATGAGCTGAGGGCACACACCAGACACCTTTCTGATCTCACAAAGGCATTGCCATAGAACTTCACCCCATCACAATAGCCGAGCGCGCCCTGGAGCCCAAAGGGGCACCCACCAGGCCACGGAGGAGAGTAAAGGTCACCAGCTGCCACACACCATACATTAAAGCTTTCAAATCCCACAGCAAAGCACCAGCTTCGATCAAGACCATCAAGATCAGACACCATGCCAAAAATGGATGGAGGAGAGAAGATACTTCATGATCTGGGCTACAGGCTGGGTCACACAATTGGGGAAGGCAGCTTCTCCAAGGTGAAGGCAGCCACCTCCAACAAGTACAAGGCCCCCCTAGCCATCAAGGTGGTGGACCGGCAGCGAGCACCCCACACCTTTGTGTACAAGTTTCTGCCCCGGGAGCTCAATATCCTGCGCAAGATACAGCACCCCAACATTGTGCGTGTCTTGGAGCTCATCGAGGTCTGCAGTGGGAAGCTCTACATAGTGATGGAGGCGGCAGCCACTGACCTGTTGAAGCTGGTGCAGCAGCTGGGGAAGCTGCCCTGTGTCCCCAAGGCCCGGGACATCTTTGCACAGGTTGTGGGTGCTGTGCGCTACTTGCATGACCGCAACTTGGTGCACCGGGACCTCAAGTGTGAGAACGTGCTGCTCACCGCTGATGGCCACCGGGCCAAACTCAGTGACTTTGGTTTCAGCAAGGAGACCAGCAGCTATCCAGACCTGAGTACCACGTTCTGTGGGTCAGCAGCCTACAGCTCCCCAGAGGTGCTGATGGGCATCCCCTACGATGCCAAGAAGTATGACATGTGGAGCCTGGGGGTGATGCTGTACGTGATGGTGACGGGCTGCATGCCCTTTGACAATACCCACATCTGCAAAATATCCCAGCAGCAGAAGAAAGGAGTGCTGTACCCTGAGGGGCTGCCCCCACTGCCAGAGCCCTGCCAAGCCCTCATCACCCAACTGCTCCAGTACAGCCCAGCCTCCCGGCCCAGTGTGGGGCAGGTAGCTAAGAACAGCTGGTTGAAGGGGGACATCTGAAGGGGGAAGCTCTCCACAGAGAGTGGGGAGAGCAGTAACATGCTAGTGTAATCAGTTCTGTGGTAGAAAAGCTTTCTGTGGTTTATTGATCATTTTGAGCCCTGGGGGTGCCACTATGTGGAGCTGATTGAACTTCAAGCACCACCAAGACCATGTGCTCCCAGAAGGTGGTGAGATCTTTCCAGAGAGGAGACATGAGCCTTCTGTTGGTTGGGTTTAAAGATACAATGACCATGCTGAGCTAGCAGTAAGAGCAACATGTGGGGCTCCTTAAACCAGCCTGATTGAGGGGGGACCTGAACCCTTTGCCAGACAGGTTGGGGCTGTCCGATGGAGCCAGCATGGCCAGGGCAGGGTGGTGAGATGCAGTGTGCAGCACCAGTCCCTGATGTTGCTTGCTTCCTAGTACATGTAATGAGCACTGAAACTCCCATGCAGCTCCCCTCTCTGCTGCTCCCCACCCTCTACTGTGGTATGCACAGGGCCCTGCCCTGCACTGCAAGAGCAAAGCTGTTCTCACGCGGGTCTTGGCTTGTCCTCAGCCTTGTTGGCCACCAAACTGTATTTGGGTGTTGGGAGGGGAGAAGCGGTGGTCCTGCAAATCACTGCTGCAGAGAAAATCTCGCAGATTTTGTATGCCTATGATATTTGTAGCCCAAATTCATAGCAGGGGCTTTGCAGGCAACTGGACAGCATTACTGAGCCAGATATGTGGCTCTGAGATCCACACCTGAAGTTTAACTGCATCTTTCAAATATTGATTCTTAGTGACGTTTGAAATATCTGCCAAAAGATATCTGATGAGAAAGAAATGCCGCTGGCCACTGAGAACCTGAAATGGGAAAGGGATAAAGATACAAAGGATAACTGCTTTGCTAACACCCCCTGTCTAGCTTCAACATAGAAATTACCACTGACCCCAAATGCAACCCCCAAAATCTACTACAGATCCCCACTGGTAAAATCCCATTTTCAAGGGGTTAATTGAAGGTAGGGGCTGACATCTGACATGAGACATTTCAAACCCCATTTAGACAATCTCTGATCCAGCTCCCACTGCAACTGAAGTCAGGAGAGCTCCTGCTGGGTGGTCCGTCAGCCTCCACCGTGTTGCTGGTGCCACGTGAGGTAACCCAAGGCAGCCCTGGCAGCAGCTCCCATGGTGGGCTTGGTCTTACATGAACACATCCGTGCACATGGAAGAGAAGGAAACACCTTTGGCAAAACAAACATTCTGGGTCTATTAAAAGCAGCAGTTTAAGTAGAACAAGATGTGGCAGCAGAGCCAGCCCCAGACTTTCCAGTAGGCAGGCTACAGTGAATTTTGCCACCTCCAGAATGAAGATTATTTTGTTCTCCCCCTTGCAGCTGCAAAATAGGACTTTAGAGCAGCAGTAAAGTCGAAAGTAGAAGGAATAAGGGATAGGAAGAGTGTCTTAGGGCCATTCGTGGCTGGGAAAACAGGCTTGGGAAGGATCAGGAGGATTCTGGGGATGGAGAAGTAGGAGAGAATTCATAAGGATGTGGGAAGTGAGGAGGCGGATTTCAGGGCAGTGAGATTTTCAGCAAGGCTCAACTCTCCTTTTCCTACTCTCCTTCCAACCACCCCATCAGCCTCACACCAAAGCCACCACCTTCCATTGGGAGAGCTCCCCGATTCATTAGGAACTGTAGTGACAGGACAAGGGGTAATGGATTAAAACTTAAACAGAGGAAGTTTAGATTGGATATAAGGAAGAAATTCTTTACTGTAAGGGTGGTGAGGCACTGGAATGGGTTGCCCAGGGAAGTTGTGAATGCTCCATCCCTGGTGGTGTTCAAGGCCAGGTTGGACAGAGCCTTGAGTGACATGGTTTAGTGTGAGGTGGCCCTGCCCGTGGCAGGGAGGTTGGAACTAGATGATCTTAAGGTCCTTTCCAACCCTAACTATTCTATGATTCTATGATTTCCAGATAGCTGCTCACCTTCATGCCATGCCTCACTCCAGCCCTTGCTTACCTTCAAGTACCTCCCCACAGCCTGGAAAGCAGAAACCTGGTGCCAGTCCTGGTGCTACTGTATTGTCTCTCCTTTTGCTTTCCATTGATTTTCTATTGTTAGAGACAAAGCTAATATAAAAGGAGTCTCTCTAAACCCCAGATCCTATTAATCTCCCCTCAGCACCGTGTTCTCCTAAACTATTGCATCAGTTGAGAGGACATGAGTAGGGATAGATGACTAATGTTTTGCGAGGATGTACCCCCTTAAGTGGCTTGGGAAAGCAGCTGGGGTTCAAGTAGGAAGTGATTTGAATGAGCCACAGGAGGCTCCTAAGGCTGCCCTGCAGCCCTTGCCTTCTCCATGCAGATGGTAATCTCACAGGGCCCAGCACTAACGACCTCAAAGCAGTCTGAGACTGTGAAAATAGCCCATTAGAAATCTAATTATGCAGATTAAAAATTAAATTCACAATTAAAGACTCTGAACCAATTCTTACCTAATTTGCACCAATGGGAAGTCAGTGTTGGAGGAGAGCAGAAACAAAGCGGGTGAGAGCAGGCTGGCAAGAAGGCTGCTCGGCCATGCCCCAGCAGCAGGGCTAGGGGCATACTCTGCATCCCTTCCTTCTTCTCTCTGCACCAGAGGCACTCATCGCTGTGTGTGCTAAGCCTGCCACTTCCCTGGGCCCATTTCCTCATCAGGAGGGTAGAAATGCTTCTTAACCTTCCTGGAGGTGCACAGTCAACGGACATGCCTCTTCCCTGATGCTAGCAGATGGGCCCCACTATCCCAGCCATGAATCACAGCACCCTGTGTTTATGGGGAGCCCTTTAACTGTGCACCCATGGGAGGCATGAACAGACACACTGCATTATCAATAGCCCTATCAGTCCCACTGGCATCGCTCTGCAATGTGACTCTGTCCTCCTCAGGCTGTTCTTAACGTACTGGTGTGGTGTGATCTGGAAATGAAGGGTCCTAATACCAGCACCAAATAAATAACTTTCAGTGGGGGAGCTGATCACCATGCAAGGTACACAGTAAATATATTTTATATTTTATTTAATCCTTCTTCAAGGATAAGAAGGGGAACATTCAGAGACCGTACAAGGCAGCTCTGTGGTGCGCCACCATCTAGCTCCTGTTAGCTTACTATGTGGTCTGATCATGACCCTCTCCACAGCCCTGTTGTCATGCCCTGTGTCACCTGACAGGCTCACTGGAAAGTCTTCCAGATTTTTTAAATCAGAGGGACTCTCATAAGGATATTAATCAGAATATAGTGTTTAGTATTTTCTCAGGATATTTTCTAAACATCTTGAATCAATTTTGTTTATTTAATCTGAGAAGAGCATTAAAAAATTCAAAGACATCTTCCAGACTTTTAGTATAGCTTTCCTCCCACTGTTCTTTTGTCCAAAATCAGCATCATCTCACCTGAAATACAGTATTTATTTTGGGTAAATTAAAGGATGGGACATAATTCACTGCACATTGACATCAGCTCCCTCTTCAGCTGAGCAAAATTTGCTTTCAAGATGTTAGGGCTGATGTGTCTGATAAGCTTTAGGACTCAGCTATTTAGAAGTGTACATGTTACCAAACTCTGGAGATAAGTATATTCATGAATTGTGGGAAGACACTGCTGGGTAATCAAACGCCTCATGTATCCCTGCATTAACTCTCAAGCTAGTGCTCTCAGGGCTGTACATTCCTACCTACAGCGAAGCAGGGCTACCCAGCCTGCAGCTAATGACCTGCTTCAATTACCCTTAGCTGAGCCAGCACAGGCAGGTTGGGTGAGTTGCACACCCAGATGACCTGCCTCACTTGGAAGGCAAAGCTTTCAACAGGCCATTTAGCAGATAAACAGACCTCGCTCTGCTTAAATACATAAACCTTACCATAGCTGCAGTCTCCAGTGCTGGCAGCCTTTTATCCCACCACCTACCATCCTCCTCTCTCTTTTCAGACCCCACGCTATCGGCCTCCATGCTCTTGTGTGCATCTCAGCCCTTCTTCAGTTTAAGATCTCCTCCTCTTCTCTTTTCATAGTCCATTGCTCTACGGGTCTCTACAGTTACTTGTCTGTTGGAAGAGATAGGAAGGACGGGGGCAAGCATATTCCTGTCTTGAGCCATTTGCTTATACGAAGCATAATTAAGCTAATGAGAGCTTCTCAGGATCCAAAGGCTCTTTGTGCATATCATTTTCCTTGTAGACAATAGGATTTCTGTGAAGAATATTTTCATTTTCACAGCATCCAGCAAATATTATTCCTCACACTAGCACCAAGCAGTAAACATTCTCCCCGTTATAGGGAACAGCCTAAGTAAGTGGCTTACATAAAGCCAAGAGGATTTCATTTTACATTGCAGTTCAAAACTTCCCTAGCCTCCAGTCTTCTGGTCAGATCATGACTCTATCTTGAAGTGATAATAAATTCAACAATATTTGATGGCCTGGAAAGACATGTGAATTCCCTCTCCCCTAACTGCTTCCAAATCAATCTGATCCTATCTCATAAATGAATGAAAGGAAATGCACTACAGAAAACAGATGGATGACACTTCTTTTCCATGCTCTGAATAAGGGGTCCAAATTTCTTCACTGCATTTAACACTAAATTTTGATTATTACTGACTTCTCTTATAGGTGACAACAACATAACCACCAAAAAAGGCAGAGCACAGGGGTGTACATTGTTGTTAGGTGCTTCTCTTTGAAGAGCTGCACAAGGATAGTTGAGGTGTCTGTTCTCCTTCCTGCCTTCTCACATTATTATCAGCCACAGCAGCAACCCACAGATTCCTTGAAAGACATGTTATTTCTTTCTCTCAACTGACAGATGTTCATTATATTCAGGTAGCACCTAAATGTCACAGGAACCCTATTGGGAAAGGTCCTGTGTACAGACGTTGTTATTGATCATCTCTGCCTCAGACGATTTCATCTCTTAAATGAGAGACACCTTGGGCACAGGGGAGGATCTTCTCTTGGACCATGCCGTCTGTAGGTGGCCTCACAAAGAACAGGTAGTAGGACACCATGGAGATCTGGTTTGCCTCATGCCTTACCTAGCATCAGAGA